CAAACCAAAACGATTAACCGGACATGGGGTCGGAAGCGGTTTAACCGGCCTAACCGGTAAACTGGCCGATTGAACCGTTCTAACCGGGCAAGTCCTGGGCGGCCAAAAAATTGTTGAAAAAATTAAAAAAATTGCAAAAAAAAATCTACTAAAATATAAAAAGCACATAAATAATGATTAAAAGAAAACGCATTCAAATGAAGTTGAAAATTAATGAAAAAATAGATTTTTAAAAGTGAGCATTAATGACCAAAACAATTTTTAATATTTACCATAATGTAAAAAATATTAAAAAATGTATTACAAATCAAATTCCTTATTTTTGAGACTTTATATATATATTTTTGAATTTTTATTTTTAAAATACTGACCGATCGCCAAAATCGTACGAAACCAAAACTGGCAAAGGGTCGGTTCTGATCTAACCAGGCGGTTACCAGTTAGATCGCTCAGTTTTTCTAACCATGCAATATGCTTAATATTAGTATTATTATATTTTAATATAATAATATTTTATTGCCGAAACCTAGTTTTACATTGAGATGAGCAAAACATGGGATTTGTTATATACTAGGTTAATTTAGAAGCTACATAGACGACATTGTTCCCAAAACCATGTTTTACAACTACTAAAATTTGTATACCTAGGAAATACTGGATAACTAAGTTTTATAAATACCAAGCCCTAATTCTCAATACTGTATAAAGGGAGTTTTTTGGGGTTTTTTAAGGCTACTCGTGGATTGCGTCAAAGAGATCCTCTTTTACCTTTTTTTTTTTAACAATCTATGCAGAATGCTTCAGTTTGATGCTCTCTAATGTGATGCGAAGTGGTCATTTTACAGGCTTTCAGTTACCTAATGAAGGCCCTTGTGTTTCCTATCTATAATATGTAGATGATACCCTGTTGTTTTGTGGAGCACATATGCCTTAAGTATCTAATATTGCTATTTTTTTGAAGTGTTGTGAAGTGACTTTGGGCTTAAAGGTTAACTTTGGAAAAACAAGTTTGGTGGGCCTTAATTTCCTTGATGAGGAGGTCTCTTTTTTGGCACATGTGTTTAGTTGCAAGGTTGATAATTTCCTTATTACCTACTTGGGAATACAATTATTAGATGGTAAGCTCCCAATTGCAGTTTGGGACAAAATAATTCAACATATTCAAATTAAGTTAGATCTCTAGAACTTTAAATATTTGTCATTTGGGGACAGGATTACACTTATTAAGGCATGCTTGCCGAACTTGCCCATTTACCAAATGTCCATTCTCCAGATCCCAACATCGGTGGCCAGGAAGATTGAGACCATGATGATGAACTTTCTATAGGCATTTTCAGTGGATAAGAAAAAGTTTCACCTTTTGAGTTGGGATATGGTATGTACACCAAAGAAGGAAGGTGGCCTTGGCATTAAATATATTAAATTGGTAAATCATGCTCTACTTTGCAAGTGGTGGTGGAGAAGTTTGATTTTTAAAATCCATCTTTAGTATATAGTGGTTGTTTCAAAGGTACTGATAGGTATGGATTATGGGTGGGGACCATGAGGGGAGCTTCAAGTATGTTGGCCTGTTGGAAGGCTATTCAATTGTGTAAAGGATTCATTTATAGAGATATAAGGTGGTGTGTGGGTAGTGGTAAAAATATTTCCTTTTGGCATCACAAATGGGTTGGGGACTGTTCACTTAAATTACTTTTCCCACTGGTTTTTCAAAGGGTGGTTAATCAAGAAGCAACTATCTCTGATTACCATGTTCGCAGGGTGGTCATATACCTCTCTCAATTATCTGATATTCTCAAGCAACTTTCTCTCAATTATTTGACGTTCTCAAGCTTTTGGAAGACATTTATATTCCTCAGAATGCTGCTGATGAAGTTGTATGGGAACTTGATAAGAATGGGATTTATTCCGTAAAATCCATGTATAATATGCTTTTTCATGATAGGGTTCGATGGTCTATACCTGTTCTTGTTAGGTTGTGGAAGTCCCCTCTACCTCTTAAAATACAAGGACTTTTGTGGCTAGCGGCCCAAGATAGAGTGCTTACTATTGATAATCTTATAAAGCGAGGGAAGATTTTACCTAATATTTGTCTTTTGTGTAAGGAGGATGGGGAGTCCGGTGATCATCTCTTCCTTCACTGCCCTTTTGTTAATAAGATATGGAGATGGTTTTTTGAGAAGTTGGGGGTTACACTTGTAATGCCTCCTTTGGTGGTGGGGATAATAGAAGGGCTTTCAGCTACTCTTCCAAAGATTGGGGCTATTGCATGGCAAATTTCAAGAGGAGTCACCCTTTGGGAAATCTGGAAAGAGAGAAATATGAGAGTTTTTGAAGGAGTTCCATTACCTTTTGGACAAGTGTTAGATATAATATTTCACTCAATATGGCTTTTTCTTTCAATCACTCATAGGGGGAATGA